TTTATTGTAGAGATGAGGTCTCGCCTGCCCAGGCGGGTCTTGAACCCACGGGCTCCGGCAGTCCACTCACCTCAGCCTCCCAAAGGTGCGGGATTACAGGCTGAGTCACGGAGCCCGGCTGAACACAGGATTTTATTCCATTTATTTAGGTCTTCTTTAATTTTTTTTACAGTGTTTTGTTTCAGTGTACAAGTTTTGCACATTCTTGGTTAAATTTATTTCTAAGTATCTTTTCTTTTTAATGCTATTGTAATTGTAATTTTCTTAGTTTTTTTATGATTGTTTATTCTAGTGTTTAGAAATACATCAGATTTTTACATAATCTTATATGTTACAACTTTGCTGAATTTTTAAAATTTTTTTATTTTTTGTTTGAGTCAGAGTCTCACTCTGTCGCCCAGACTGGAGTGCAGTGGCCGCTCCCGGCCACCGCAGCCTCGTCTGCTGGGCTCCGGCGATCCTTCCGTCTCAGCCTTCCGAGTAGCCAGAATTACAGGCGTGCGCTACGACGCCCGTATGATTTTTTGATTTATTGTAGAGATGAGGTCTCGCTGTCCAGGTGGGTCTCGAACCCGCGGGCTCAGGCAATCCACTCACCTCAGCCTCCCAAAGGCACGGGATTACAGGCTGAGCCACCGAGCCCGGCTGAATATGTTTATTAAGCTCTAATCATTTCTTGTGGGTTCTATAGGATTTTCCACATACAAGTTATGTCATCTATAAATAGAGATAATTTTGCTTCTTTTTAATATGGATGAATTTATTTCATTTTGATGCTTACTTGCTCTGACTTGAACTTGCAAAACAATGTTAAATAGCAATAGCAAAAATAGGCTTCCTTGTCTTATTTCTGATCTTAAGAAGATAGCTTTCAGTTTTTCATCATTAGCATGATGTTAGCTGTGGGCTTTTTATAGTTAACCCTTCATATTCATGGGTTTCACATCCATTGATTCCACTAACAGTGGATCATAAACCCATTGGTTGAATCAGTGGATGCAGAATGCATGCATACAGGGGGCTGACTGGGACTTGAGCATCCTAGGATTTTGGGTGTCCTGGAACTAATTCCTTGCATATCCCGAGGGATGATTGTATGCTTTGTATAATGTTGTGTAACTTTCCTTCTATTTTTAATTTATTGAGTGTTTTTATCGTAAAAGGTTTTAGGATTTTGCCCAATGAGTTTCTTTTTTGATTAGTTAAGATGATGTGACATTTTCTGCCTTGACATTTTAAATGAACTAAATTGTCAAAGGAGCCCTAATTCAACTCAACACCTGCTTGGATCTTAAAGGTCAGCTCTTAACCTAAGTTGTGTTAACAAAAGACAAACTTTTTTGAAATTATCTACTTCATTTCCAGTAACATTTTTGTACAAATATTTTATCACAATCACAAATGAAGAGAATTTTGAAGAAGCAGGATGGTGTCTTTCATAATTAAGAGAAAAAATTATTAGAAACAGATCTACAGATGTCAAATATGACAAGAACTTTAAAGTTAGCATTCTAAGCAATAATGCTGTGTCAAATAATTATTAGAATAGTGATTAGATGAAAAGATGGAAGCCGGGGTCAGTGACTCAGCCTGTAATCCCGTGCTCTGGGAGGCTGAGGTGAGTGAATTGCCTGAGCCCACAGGTTCGAGACCCGCCTGGGCAACTTGGCAAAACCTCATCTCTACAGTAAATAAAAAAATTAGTCGGGTGTGGTTGCACGTGCCTGTAGTTCCAGCTACTTGTAGGCTGAGACGGAAGGATCACCAGAGCCCAGCAGGTTGAGGCTGCGGTGGCTGGGAGTGGCCACTGCACTCCAGTCTGGGCGACAGAGTGAGACTCCAACTCAAAAAGAAAAAAAAGATGGAAAAGATCAAGAAATAGAGTCTATAAAAAAGAACTAAATACACATCCTACAATAGAGAAGTACAGTTTCCAAAGTGAAGAATTTATTGCATGGACTTAAACAGCTGACAAGACACAGAAGAAAGGATTAGCAAATTTAGGATGCAAGTTTATAGGAATTTTTCAAATTGAAGCACAGAGGTGGGGAATGGTATTCACTAGAAGAGGGACTGAGAATGTTTTATGTGTTGCTGTGGTTAGTGGTTGCATGATTTTATATATTAGAGGTGCGACCTCCCAAAATCCCGAACTTGATTTATATAGAATTATATATTCTTACATGTTTAAACTTCAGTCTCCTTCAAAGTATTCTGTTTGATGCATTATACCTATCAAGATGCTTTGATAAAAAACTGTTCAACACAGTTTTTGAACTCATCAACTTTGATGCCTTTTAGTTCTTCTGCCATTTTTTGTTTTGTCTCTTCCACATCGTCATTACGTTTCCCTTTGCAAACTTTCCTCATCTAGGGAAACAAACAAACAAAAAAATCACTTGAAGTGAGATTGGGTGAATAGGGAGGGTGGGGCATTGGCATCATGCCGTTTTTGGGAAAAACTGCTAAACAATCAATACAGTGTGGACAGGTGCACTTGTAAATTATCCTTCATGAAATGGGCAATTGCATTGAAAGAATCTCCATAAAAATTCACTAAAACTGAATGCAGCCTTTCAAAGCAATGCTAGCTGTGTACACTGATGCCAGTGGGTTCCTAGAACACTTACCTAGCAAGGGAAGCCTGTACTGTAAGGAACCCACCCTCCAAAAAAGTAAGTCTTCTGGTTAGCTTGTTGTAATATTATCAGTAGTTGAGGATAGTGCATATTAAGTATGCACTCCAGGTGATTCCATGGCAGATGACTCTTGGACCAGACATTGAAAAAAAAATGATGTGTGCTGTTTTGCAGGTGAGTTGTAATGTTAAAGAAAGGGGTGTGTGAGACACTTTTTGCATGTGTCAAGAGCAGGTTAGGGTTTTTGTTAGTTTTAGGGTTGTAGACACTTTCACATGCTTTTTTTGTTGTTAGATATGTGCCCACAGTAAGGAAAAATTAGAATGAGAAAATGAAGAAGAGGTAGAGGGGAAGAAAGGAAGAAAGTGGTAGGTAGGTAGAGAAAGAGATAAGAGAGAGTAAGATAATGAGAGAGGCAAAGAGATACATCCTGAGAAGAGAGACAGAATTGAATGAGCAGTGTGTTGGAGAGGAATATGGGATAAAGAGATAACTATGGGATAAAATAGATGACTATGTAGGCATGGAAGAAGGGTGTCACAGGAGTTAATCTCTGATAGTTTCCTTTCTCTCTGTGAAACGGTCATTTGCCAAGAGGGGAATTGCATAGGTATGAGATGAGTTGGTCATGTAGCTTGGGGAAAGTTTGTAGGGACCAGGAGAAGGAACTGATAGAAGCTATGCCAAGGTTTGACGGCAGTCGGATGTTATACATTTGCGATGGCACCAGTTCCTGGTCATGTAATTTTCTAAAGTGATTAAGGTAAGAGGAGCAGAAAAATGAGACCCTTTTTAATGGTTTTAATTAGATTACTTTTTTGTTGATCTGTGAGGAAATGAATTTCATAAGTAACTTTTAGGCTTTAGTGTAAGTACTTTGTGTTTCTAAAAGCTTTAAAAGTAGTTGGATGACAGGTACATAAAAATTAAGCTCTTAAAAATCATACAAGTGTATACCAATACTATTGTGATTTAATAGGTAATGATATAGTCAATAGTTATCAGTTTTAGAGTCTAAAGATCTGTGAAATCAAATAAATTTCAGATTGTATCCAGTACTTTGTAATACAAAGGTATTATTTCTTCTAGGAATTACATATTTGAATTTATGCCTAGCAACTTCAGAAATTTTATTTTCTATTATAAAATGTCCTCTATATTGTTGTATTTCAAACACTTTTGTTGAAATTATGTGCCAAACACACTAAAGCCTTTCTTTTAGTTTTTAGGAAAAAGCAACATATTTTACTTAATTAAAAATTAGCTAATTTTTTATGGTATTGAATGATTTAAGGTATAGGCTTAATATATGCCAATTAAATATTTAATTTTTTATTTCAACTTTTTATTTTATTATTGGGTGGTAGTATCAATATTATATATTTATTAATATGTAAATAAATACAATCCACTTATATATTTTCCAGTATAATTAGTACTTGTATTTTGCATAATATTCTCTAGTTGGTGTTTTAGCTATGCTTTCCTTGAAAAGTCTTGTTTTGAGAAGGATCATTTTCTTCTATTTTGTCTAGTTCATGTTTTTCTAACAGTGTCAGTTGTAATAACCCTCTATAGCCAATAGGACAGCTCATTAAGCTCATTACACTTGCTTGGTAGTTGATTTTCTCCTTTTATACACATAGGAAATGCTTGGAACTTCTTTACGTTTTCCAAACACAATTGGCTCTGAAACTGCTCCAGTGTCTGAGAGTCACAGATGCCCCACATTTCTATGGCCTGCCTTCCCTTGAGCGGACCTTACGGGGAATGGCTCACCTCACTGCATTTCCAGGATGGAGCTCGCATTCTCCCCTAACAAAGCCACTGGACATTTGTGTGAAGTACTTGTCAGGTCTCCTCGAAGTAAGTAAAAACAACAACCTTTCCACCTCCCACATCATAGCTTTTTATAATTTATTGATTGTTTTTACTTTTTACCAGGCACAAGGGCATTATATATTACTCTGTTTAATGTAGACTATTAGGCAGTATTTATATAATTCATCATAGTAGTTAAATGTTTTAATGGTTTTTATTAACAAATGTGTAAGTAAGGCCACTTTTATACATACACTTATTTTCAAGAAAAATAAACTTAGGTTTATACTTAAGTCCTTTTTAAGAATAATGTTATTCATTTATTTTGTTTAACCTTTTTTATTGTAAAATATAACACAGAAAGTACACCAAATATAAATACACAGCTTAGTGAATTATCACATAGTGAACATTCACATAGTTATTCCAGATTCGAAAATAGAATTTAAGTTGGTACCCTAGAATTATTCATCATACCCATTCCTGTCCCTGCTTCTTTCCAGAAAGGTAAGTTATTGTGATTGTTTGGTTTTCATGTCTTACCATTTCTTGCTGGTTTTACTACTAAGCATGTCTCTATATATAAATTTCTGATTTTTTTTTTTGGATCCTGTACAAATGAAATCATGTCTGGCTGCTTTGTTTCAACATTATGCTTATCAGAGTTATTCATTTTGTTGCCTATAGGTGGAGTGAGTTTAATTTAATTTTTGTAGAGTGTTCTGTGTACTACAGGTTGAATATTCCTAATCCAAAATCTGAAATGCTCTAAATTCTGAAACTTTTTGAGTGCGGACATGGCACTCAAAGGAAATGTACATTGGAACATTTCAGACTTTTAGATTAGTGATGCTCTGCAGGTAAGTATATTTCAAAATCTGAGAAAATTTGAAATTCAAAACACTTTTGATCCTAAGCATTTTGGATAAGACTTCAAAGGTACAGTGATACAAAGGTAAGATACAGTGTTGAAGGACCTTTGGTTTTTCTTTTTCTTTTATTTTAGGCCAATTTTGCATCTTGCAACTGTCAACATTCTTGTCCTTTGGTTAAAATGAGTATGTCTTTTTTTTTGACATTTTATTTGCAAACTATTGTTGATATACAGAATTACATTCAATTTTTCTTTATTGATCATATATCTAGTAATTCTTGTTTCTAATCTCAAAACAAAGGCTTTGTTTGTTTTTTTTTAAAAGAGACAGGCTCTTGTTTTGTCACCCAGGCTGGAGTGCAGTGGCACAATCATGGTTCACTGCAACCTCTACCTTCTGAGCTCAAGTGATCCTCGTGCCTCAGCCTCCCAAATAGCTAAGACTACAGCACATGCCTGGCTAGTTTTTTTTTATTTTTATTATTGTAGACACAGGGTCTCACTTTGTTGCCTAGGCTGGTCTCAAACTCCTGTCTTTAAGCAATCCTCCCACCTTGGTCCCCAAAGTGCTGCGATTACAGCCGATAGCGACTGTGCCTGACTGAAAAGGCTTTTAATTTTTCACATTTCAGTGTGCTATTTATAGTTGTTTTTGTCAATTAATTAGAGAAGAATCAAATTAAGAAAGTTTTATTTTGTCCTACTTTGCTAAGAGCCTTGTTTGTTTTTAATTCATAAATGTATATTGTTTTTCTGTATCTTTTTAGATAATCATGATTTTTCTCTTATATTCCATAATGGTGGTGAGTTATATTGATTGATTTAAAAAGGATAAACAATCTTGCTTTTCTGGAAATCTTTCAATAGGTTGTGATGTATTATTCTTTTTATATGTTAATGGAATTAGTTTAATAATGTTTTTGGAATTATTCTACCTTTTTTTCTAAAAAATTTTTTAGAATTTGCATCTTTTTTGTTATAAATTTTTTGTTGTTTTAATATCAAAATTATTTTATGTACATAAATATATGTATATATAATTTTCCCATTTTTTAATACAACTTTCTCTTTTTTCTTTTTTCTTCTTAGAATAGTTGATTTGAATTTGTGTTACTCAGGTTTTAAATGTTAGGTAGCACTCTAGGCTTGGAGTTTTGTTTTTGGGATGATGTAAATTTTGAATTGAATTTTTAAGTAGATCTATTAAGAGTTTCTTTTGTGTGTGTGTCAACCTTAATGAGTTCTGTTTTTCTAGAAATACAAAAATTAGTCTAAATTCCCAAATTATCATAAAATTATTAATAAAATCAGTGAGGTTCCCTTTCATGCCAGACGTTCATTATTCATTTCTCCATTTTTCTTACACTAGTGGTTTGTAAGTTTTAATCTTATCAGATAATAAATATTTGACTTGATCCTGTCTTTGTTTTTTTCCTATTTTACTTCTGCCTATATTATTTCCTTATACTTCTAGTTTAGTTTAAGATATCTTTTTAACATTTTAAGATAGAGTCTTCACTGATTTTTTTTTTCAGCTTTTCTCAATTATGCATTTTTAGCTCTAATTACCTCCTAAACATGACCTTAATTGTGTCTCACTTTTTGATATCCCATGTTTTTGTCATAATTTAGTTCAAAGTACTTACAGTGTGATGTAATAAATTAGCAACGCTGTGGATATATATAATTCTATGAGAGCAGCCTTGGCACAGTGCTCTGGCAACTTTGCATGTATGTATTTGGGCCATATAGACAAGGCTTAATCAAAGCTGCTCTGAGTTTTGGTAGAAGTTCCTGTGATTCTCTGTAGCATAAGAATAATAGAGGCTTGTGAGAAACTGCTACAAGATTAATTCTTATTAACTTCACTGACTATTAGGAGGATTGTCATGAGCCTGGTTCTTTTTCTTTTTTTTTCTTTTAAAGATGTGGGGTGGGGTACAATTGAGGGTTTGGTATATAAATGTTTATTATGCAGGTACCCCTGTTGATGAAGAGCCTGTTTCTTACTGCCTCCTGGGTTCTGATGGGATCTGGGCTTTCTGCTTTTTTTTTTCCTTTGGGTACAGCTGCCAGCTATGAAACTGCATTATTGTAGCATGGCATAGACTTCTCAGCAGCAGAGTGTCCTACCTTCTGCATTGCAGTCATTTGGCCCGTTTGTTTTTGTATCACACTGTGCAAGGGACACTGGGAGCCAGCACCTTTTACGATTCTTGCTTTTACTGTTTATGTAGGCATTAAACTGAATCTAAAAATGGTTCATTGTTACCTTACTGGCCACATCTGTCAACCTTGTTTGGCCTTGAAAGCTTTGTGATAGTCAGAGGTTGGGATCGTTAACGGTTTTAGGACTTTTTAGGAAAGACTCTTGGAGCAGGCAGTGTGAGTTCGATTTTGATGAGTAAATTGATAAATTGTGATGGATATTCTAGACATAGAATTTTTTTAATCAAATTATATCTGTACCTTCCTATTTCTTTTCATGCTGTGGGTTCCTTTTTGCTATCATATACTTGCTACCCACCACCAGATTATTTTTCAGAAACAGAAATCTTTCATTCCAAGCCTTTTTTTTTTTTTAAAGAGCATAAGACTCTTGATAATCTTGCATTTTGAGTCTTGTCTCCATTTGAATTTTTTTCTACATCTCAGAGTTTTCTGTTATAGCTGGCTAGTTTGCAAAATAAAAAAGCCTGGAAAAGCCTAAAAAGACTCTTTCAGAGAGCTTTCTCTCTTTTATGGGTGGCAAACTACATAAAGTTTAAGATCTAACTTATTTATTTTTCTTTAGTAAGCCTTTTCTTCTTCTTCCATCATAAGACATTTACGAAATATTGTTTGGTCTCTAGGTTGTATACCTGTTTGTATATTAGTATACAGTTTGTATATTGTATATATCAGTTTGTATATTAGTTCATATGTTATGTTTTTTCTTAATTCATTATATTTTGCTTTATGTGTTGCTCTGTTAGACTAAGCTTGTGAGAATCATCACAAGGTAGTCTGTGGCTACCTCGTGGACCTAGCACTGTGGTTTTTACATAGTAGATAAATAGTGAATCATTGAATTAATATATATCTTATATATAGTATTAAAATTAGAATACAGTTTGAATAACATTAGAAATGTGACATAAGTTGTTATAAATGTGTTTCATTTTTGTACTTGCATTATTAAATATTGCTCTAGGTAATGTTTGTATTATAAGTGGAAAATCATACTTCTTATGGTGTTATCTAGAATTTTTACCAATAGCACATCTTGTTTTTAAAAAAAAGATTTCAAAATTCTAAACACTCTTAGCTGTACTATGAAATTTAATGTGAGTTTTACTGGATTCCCTTTAATAAAACAAATTTTTATTTTTAATTTAAGTATTGAAAAAGAATCAGCTGTCCTTATACTAATTACTTATCCCACACTGTCCATGATCAGAAATGTATGAATATTAGAAACATATATTAGTCAAAGAATTAACTCCAATTTTTCTTTTAAAAAGTCAGCTCTTCTTAGTGCATTTAAAATGTAATTCACCGTACAAGTACCAAATTTATAGCATTATGTGTTATGGGAGTTAGAAATAATCCATTTATAAACCTTTCATAGACTATGTCTTCTCTGTACAGTGAATTTTGTGTTTCAGATCAGGAATATGTGAGGACCTGCCACAGTAATTGAAGGAGAAGCTAAGTATTGTGTTGTTTATATTTAGAAACTATCAAAAATCCTTTTGTTTTTACAATTTTATAAGAAAAGAAACTTCAGATCACACCTATGTTTCAAATACCAAAACTTAAAATAAGGATTTTATGGTACTGGAGAAGAAAAGGGGTTAGTTCTAGGTAAGAAGTACAGGCAAAAAGGCAATAACCTCATTCTAAGTTCAATTTTCTTTGAGGTAGTAAATATTGGACCAGTTTATTAGCTATAAAATAGATAAAATGTGCAGTCCCTATTTTGTAATATGTAACAGGTATCTGGCAAAAAATGACAAGTTGAAAGGAGACAATACCAGAGTTCTTGGCTTGTACTAATAAGCTAGAATTATATGTCATTACACAGCTGTTAGATATCTCCAATGATGACTTAGAAGATTATAAGGAACTGATCATTCAGGTATCTTATTTTTAACATAGTCACTGAAAATTTTTAATTTTTAATGATGAA